GTGGGTCACCCCGCCATGGATTTGATAATGGACTTGAAAAATTAATATGACCCCAGCCATGCGGTAAGGGCAACCAAAAGGAACATATTGCCTATTATACTGGGGAGCGACAAACGATACGGGTCTAAGCTGACCATAGAAGGTAGGCCGTGGGCTCGTTATACCGACAAAGTCAGCCCTGATCCCTACTTATAGCAGGGTTCCTCTTATTTTAGCTGAACTAGAAGCTAGCTCGATAGGTATATGTGTGGATTAATATGTTGGAGATATAGGGATCAAGTCCATTCTGCCCTCGGGTAAGCTTTTTCTGGTAAAAGGTGAACGCCAACCCGATTTTTATTCCGCCTCGCTCACAGGTTATCGGGGCTCGAGCCATTGACCTGTGGATTACGAAATAAACAGGTAGTTAGAATTTAGGTTTCTCCACGTATCAAATGACCAATAGTTGCCCACACGAGACGCATTAAGGGTAGTACAGTTAGATTCTCGATTTTTATTTTATTTTATTTTTTTTCCGTTAGATGTGACACTTTCGTAATTTCACAGAGAACTTCCAACGTGCAATCATAATACCGAGGAAAGCGCCGACATCTACCACCAGACGCGCACCAAATCCACCTAAATGTTCTGCTAACACAAGGAAAGGTTATGCCGACATGTGTTTTATCCAGGATCACGTTGCAACCAACTCCTTTGAAGTAGACATGCCTTGATATTTGGATCGCCTGCGTAACCAGATTTTAAGTTCACTAGACATCTCAATCCTACGTGCAACGAGGAAAAAGAATACGGTTGAAAAGAGGAAGGAGAGCGGGCGTAAAACGGGAAAATGGGAGCTAGCAGAAACAGGGGCACGTACCAAAAACAAGATAGTCAGTGCGCGATCATGAGGAAAGGAGAATGTACTAATCCTCAACCCAGCTTGAAGTCGGCACTAGCAAGCATGCAAGCAAAAGCACTAGCAAGAAAAGGCAATCACAGGCTGGAAGTAGGCATGAGCTAGCAAGAAAAGCAATAGGCGTGATCGTAAGTTCGAGTGCGATTTCAAGTGGGAAGAGCTCCGAGCGGTAGCAAGCAAGCGAATGCGCAAGTGTGAGAGGCTAGCCTACAGGGAATGTGTGGGAACTACAAACCCAAGCAGTGGGAAAACAACAATTGATCTATGGGTACGAACGAGAGTGGAAAGAAAAAAGGGAGAGAGAAAGAAGAAAAAGGAGGGACGAGAAATCCCGAGAGAGGGAGAAAAAATGACTCACCCACTCGATGATCATGGTGTAGTCGATGCGAGAAACGTTCCGAGCGTGGTGTCGACGACATCAACGAAAATCATTTATCTTGGTGGTATAGTGTGACCGAACGGAGGCTGAGAAAAAATACGACCTGTCGAAGACGACGCTCAGTTGAGGTACGTCCTACTTTTTTACTTTATTATCATCACATACTATAATCGTCATTGTTACAAGTTAAAATCTTATAAGATATCTGATCAAGACACAATATGAGAAAGTAAGGAGAGAGAACGAAAGAAAAAAGGTGAGAAAGAAGATCACGATGTATGAGAAGGATAGTGAATGCAATAGAAGGAGCAAGATTTCAAGGGAGAGACGAAAACAAGAGAGAAACAAGAGAAGAACAGTAGTAAAGAAGAAGAAGGAAAAGGCGAAGAGAGCCGGAGTTTAGCAATCCACGGTAAGTCTGCGTATGTCATTTCCACAAGGATGAGCGATGTGACGAGATGAGAAGAATGTGGCGTATCTTTCCATACTCCAATAGTGGATTCATCCTCAGTTTGCACGATTGGTGAAACATGGACATCCTCTCACCTTGCGTTAGGATTCAGTGTTTTGGTGCGACATCGGCGTAAAACTGTTTCCTGGATGGTGCTGAGCTTCGAAGCTTTTCATTGAGATTTTACATTTATTATTTCGCCATCACTTACTTATACATTGCTTACATTACTATTATTATTTTTATTATTATTAAGTAATATTACTAGTACTCAAGGTGGTCGGCGCTCGGTATGGGCCGAATGCCTGAACCCGAACGCCCGAACGTACGGAACCCCTTGGGAATGCGTTCTGTCGTTCGAGCCGAACGTGGACCAAAAAAAAAAAAAAACCTAAAAAACATGTGCAAAAAACATATGTTATGCAAAAAAACAAACAAGACAACATTTGCCCGAGCATACATCCAAATTCCTTACAAAATTTAAAATAAACGTAAGAAAAGGAAAATAAATACTAATAAAAAAATACGAAAAAATAAAAAGCAAAATTAGAAAATTAAAATTAGTGAGTGCACAAACCCGTTTTCGACACCGTCATCTTTGGCGATTTTTTTATTTTTATTTGGGATAGCCAAATGCCCTGCAACTTTACATATGTGTACTTCATATAATACCAAAATCATACAAAAATTTTCAAAGCATAATAAAATATTTGAGGCATCAAAATAAAATCACAACAAAAAGTGAAAAGTGAAAAAAACAAACAAACTAAGTAACTGAGCACGTTTAAACACCGCCATCTTTGATGATTTTTCTTTTTGTTTTGGCTTCGCAAAATGCCTTGAAAATTTATATCCTCGTAGCGCATATCCTAAAGAACTTGCAAAAACAAATTCAACCAAACCAACTTATTTTTAGACCCCGAAATAATTTTTGGTGGGGGCTGAACCCCTTCAGGTTCGGCCCCCGAACGGGACCCTGAACGCCCGAACGTTCGGGGGTCAGCCCCCGGGGCCCTAACGTTCAGCCTAGTAACCATGCTAGTAGCCTAGTGCTAATATTATAGCTTTGCTATAACCACAAAATGCACGAGGATTGGATTGCACAAGAAGAGAGAATCATGCATGAAATGAGCAAGTGAGGAAAAAGAGGGGGGAGGAGAAGAAGAAGGAGGGGAGGAAGAAGAAGAAGAAAACATGAGGTACTTACCTGACGGTACGGCGAACATTGGCAAAATTTTCGGGAGAAGAAGGAGGAGAGGAAGATGAAGAAGAAAACACGAGATACTTACCTGCTATAGGTCAGATATATTGTGCATCGTCACGAATCTTGCGTAGAAGGAGGAAGTGAAAACTGGTAAGTTTCCAATCCGTGACTAACGTCACATTCCTTTCCATCGATAGGATAAGTAAAATCGAATGAATCTAATGATACAACAGGGAAAGACACACTACTGCTGCTGCTTGGGTGTGTGAGAAAGAATGGGTAAATCTCCTACCTCGCGACTAACCTTGGCTACTTCCATCAATAGGAGAGCGAAATTGAATAAACCGACCACTAGAACATGGAAATGTACATTACTACACACGTGTGTGTGTGTGTGTGTGTGTGTGTGTGTGTGTGTGTGTGTGTGTGTGTGTGTGTGTGTGTATGTGTGTGAGAGAGAGAAAAAAAAAAAAGAAAAAAAGAGAGAGAGAGAGAGAGGACGCGAGAGAAAGAGGAGGTAAGGCAGAGGGAATCGAGACTCGTAACCGCGAGACGAAGCGGTGGGAAAGATATGACGAAGGAGGAAAACACAAGAGGACGGATGAGTGGGTGTGGGCCCTACAGAAGAAGAGCCGAAGGCGATGCAGGGACTCGGAGGAGGACTGCACAGGGGCAAGACATACGAATGAGCAGTCGTAGACGGAGCTCGTAGGAGGAGAAGGCGAGCGCAAGGACTAAAGCGATCGAGTCGGGGATGAGGAAGGCCATGTGAAGATTGAGAATAACGATGAATGCAGGAAAGGATAAGCAGGAAGATTAGGTGGGAAAAACAAGGAAGAACGTGGAGGAGGTGAGATAAAGAAGACAAGGATGCGGAAACGAAGAGGAAGGTGAAGGAGAAGGGAAGACAGAGAGACGTCGAGATGTGTACTGTGAATAAGGAAACGGTTGCGCATGCTAGGAGAGAGAGGAAGGGCGACACGGAAGAAGGAGATAAGCTCGGGAAGAAGAGGAAGTCAGGCGCTAGGGAGAACGAAGCAAGGCGCTATCGATTGGTATCTTCACTCAGACACGTCATACCCCCGTTTTGACAGTATCGGACTCGAAAGATAGCTTGTACACATTCGTTATGTTTTCATTATTATTATTATATTATTATTATTATTACCAAGGTTGTCGACATTCGGGACGGGCCGAACGGCCGAACCCGAACGCCCAAACGTTCGGCACCCCATCTCGCAGACCCGAAAAAAGACAACAAAATAAAAAAAAGAATTTTAAAAAATCTAAAACAAATATATGTTATGCATAAAAATAAACTCAACAATATTTGCCTCAACTTTACATCCAAATTCTTTACCAAATTTGAAATAAAAATCAAATACTAAAAATAAATAATAATAATGAAAATTATAAAAATAAAACGAGAATAAAATTATTGAGTGGGCGAACACGTTTTTGACACCGCCATCTTTGGAAATTTTTCATTTTGTTTTGGCTGTGAAAAATGTTATGAAAATTTATATATGTGTATCTTATATAATAGAGAATCTACAAATAAAGTTTGAAAAAATAATAATTTTTTTCATGCCCCGAAATAAAGGAAAAACAGAAAGTGAAAAAAAAAAACAACAAATTATTGAGTGGGCAAGCAAGTTTTGACACCACCATCTTTGAGGATTTTTCATTTTTTTTTGGCTTCAAAATTAAGAGGGAGATACCTTACATCACAAAGAGCTCCCCCAAAAAAATTCAGAAAAAAAAAAAATATTTAGGTGTCAAAATATTTTTTTGTGGGGTCCGAACCCCTTCAAGTTCGGGCCCCGTACGGGGACCCGAACGCCCGAACGTTTAGGGGTTAGCTTAGGGGCCTCCGTACATTTGGCCTGGCAACCCAGGTTCTGGCTGGTACCCTCTTTGAGCCTGCATTGTTTGTTCACTGGGAGAATGCCAGTTAAAAATATGTGAGGTTAGAGAAAACTATTTCGCTGTTCCCCGATGAGGAGAAGGCCTACTATCTTCCCCCGAACACAACGCACCCTTATTTTGGCCGTATCTGGCCGGAAATACAGCTTGTATACATTCATTTTTAGGGTGCGTTATGTTCGGGGGAAGACGGTACCTCCAGGGTAGTAAGCCACACTCCCCTGGCCCACTTCATGCAATCAAAGCGCTCATGTCGACAGCGGAGATCCCATTACTGTAAAGTGATGGGAACTGGAACCTCTCGCTGCCCAAAATACCTGTGCAAGGTTGACACGCATTAATCGAGAAGTGGTCCAAATTTCAAAATCCTCAGCCGAAACTCTTCACAGCGTGCCAAGCAATGGTGTCCAAGTGATTAGACAATGTGCAAGCATAGTGTCTGGGCTCAGGAGCTCCGAAGCTAACTCTCGGGCTCACAATCATATACTCTTCGAGATGCAGGGTCTGTCGTCCAGACCTAACAGGAAGGATGGTCCAAAGAACAACGAATGTATTCCTCGGGTAAAAGGGATACAGGCCAGAGGATTTTGTTTTTCGTTTGATTGTTGGGGGGGGGGGGGGGGATACAGGCCAGAGGGTTTAGATAGCAAACGGATTGAGAACAGATTCAAATGTTCTCGGTGAAGCCAGGCATCGGTCCCGGTATTTCAGTGCTTGTAATTTGATATGGGACGCTGGGCCCAGTTCCCAGCACGTGCTGCTCCCCACGAATAGATTGGATCCTTCGTCCCGTTTAAAAAAAAAAAAAGGAAAAAAGATTAGGCTTTTATGGTGGGTGGATTACTAGAAATCATCGGAGGTTGACCGGAAATGAGGTTCACGACCGTCGTTTGGAGATCTCAGCGGGACTGGAAAATGACGAGGACGAGATTCAGAAGCAGGGAAGCAGCAGTGAGAGCGTTCCAAGAAAGACCCTTCGCTGGCTTCCGATGGGCCAGCACGGCCCAGCAGTTCAGACGATGTAGGGATCTTCACCAGACTGCTGTGGGGAAAGTGATGCTCCTCCATCTCTGTCTCTCCCCTCTGTGTGTTTGTGTTCGCTTGTCTGTGTGTGTGTGTGTGTGTGTGTGTGTGTGTGTGTGTGTGTGTGTGTGTGTGTGTGTGTGTGTG